ATACATCTATCTATAACTGGGAGGGAGAAAACCCAACACAAACCTACACACCCCCAAAAAACCTCACCAAAAACCAAACCATCAAAACTATACAACTTAGAATTGGAGAAGAGTCAGTTTTTCCCCTAATTAAGACTTCCTGCTCCTTCACCAGGGTTTCCTGACATTTGATGCAATGAGCAGAAGCATCTGCCCACTCCATCTGTACACAAGAAAGGTATATAAGGCCCAGTACACAGCTTGTAAAGAAATGCTGTCTTCACTACAGCAGAGACAAGAGTTCCTCCAGATGAGCTTTTCCCCCTTCCCCTGAGAGCAGAAGCTTAGCAGAGCTAGCCAACAAAATTAATACTTAGGTTGTTTAAACAGTCCTTTAGACTTATTTTAGCTCACACTCAAGTAAATCCAGCTCTGAGCTGGTGTGGAAGCAGATACCTCTCAGCTTCTTGTAAGATTGTCTAATGTCAGTGTAGCCCTCACTATCTACTTTTACATGTGCAAAAAAATCAAACAGCTTATATTCACTTTTGAGTAAAAGCCACTGACCAGACAATATAGCAAAGTGGGAGCAAATCTCCTCTTTACCACTCCTTGTTCTACACATGTATAACAAAACACCAAGTCTTACAAACCTCCAAAATCTGACGCCTCTAACTTAAAAAGTCATGTCACTGAAACTGGGCTTCAAGATGTAGCAGAGTTTGTGTGATGTGGAAATAGAAACACATCCAAGGAGTCTGTTTGCCCAGTCTAAACAAATAGCTGCTATTGTGATTCTGAATATGCTACAGACTTCCTAATATAAATAACATCTTTATGAATATTGCTTAATAATATGAACTAGGAAGTATTTGCTTCAGCTTCTTAAAATAAACTAGCTAACAAAAAGCAGTTCATCCTGATGTGTCACTGTGATAAAGCTAACAAGTGAAAGCATCCCTGTTTGTCACTTTTACAGCCTTTAGCTCTGATTAAAGAAACACAGCAGCCACTTGTCCTGATTTTCTAGAACCTATACACAGACTGTGGACTCACTACTGTTTCCACAACAGCCTAAGGCAATCTGCAGATGGCCAGTGTTTTAACAGTCTAACCTTTTTATTATTGCTGCTACTTTAAATAGTTTACATGATAAAAGTATGACACTTGTAGCAGTGGAACAAGATAATTCACTTTTATATCACAGAAAACTGTTTTCAGCTATTTCTGGAATCAGATCTATCACTTGGCCCCAGGCAGTATGGCAGTTTTACTTACTTCTATGCTCAGTTAAAACCTCTTTCCAGTACCTTTTCTTCCTCAAAACTGACAGCATCAGCTTTTGGTTTGCATCAAGTGAATCTGTTCTCCCTTTGCTCCACTGTGGCAGCACTTAGGCAGCTCTGTGGCTTTTTCAGATTGTGTATCAAAAGGAGGGTATGAAATACAGCTCTTCATCAGTCTCCTTGCTGCAGATCAAATTTCAGTTGCATAACAAGCAGTGACTCTGCATGACATTATGAGGCCTTCGTGTGTGATACAGCTAAACTGAAACTAGAAAAAAATAACATATATCATTATCTGCCTTTGGCTGGACATAGAAGAAACTTGTCTCAGAAAATAAGGAAACTATAAAGAAGTCAAAAACCCATGGGAAAAAAAAGTACTCAAAAGATTCAAAAGTCAAAGCAGTATCTTATTAACCCTTGAGATGATTTCTAGTAAACATATAAATATTTTACAGCAATAGTTCCTGTCTGTTGCAGAAAAACAGGCAACATGAGGGGATCACAACAGTCTATTTTGAATGGGATGTCAGTGAGATACTAACAGTTTCAAAATTTGTTTTTTGGAATATTAATGGTAGCAAAACTTGGGTTTATGCAGCATTTAAGGGCTTTTGAAAAAGCAAAAAAACTAGCTGCTTTCAGACTGGAAAGTTTCATTAAAAGGGTCCCAGCTTCAGTATCAATGGCTATGTTACCTCCTCAATTTACACCTATGACAACAGAAAGTTCCTATAAGTAGCACTTAAGTTTCAGAACACCAAAGTATTTGGTGCTTATTTGACCTTAAAATTTTTAAGTGCTTGGGAACTCCTCAATAAGCAACTCTACAGGAATGTATCCCACAAGTCTGTATGAATTGACAAATTATTTGGGTAAACACATAAACAACACAGAGCATGCTAACAATTTTAAGAGGCCCTGGCTGCTGAAAATTCTATGTACTCTTAGGTGTAACATGACTCTAATCCATCATTCACTTGTTTCCTAAAAACAGTTAGTAAGAACACAAGTTCCTTTTGTTCCTACTGGTTTTATGTGAGAAGAACACATGCAGCCCAACAGGAATCTTTCCTTCATTTATAATAGCTGCCTAGCTACCCTCACTTCAGCCATTTAGCAATCCTGTTATGAAACAGCTGCTATTAGTGAGAAAAGTCCAAACTGGCAGCATTCACAGACCACTGGGAATACAGAGAGTATTAAGGAGATGTTTCTACAACTCACTGTCAATACCCTCTGATTCATTTCACTCAGTTTTTGCAAGACCCCACCTTAAAGGCTCCAGTCAGGGTTATACTCCTAAAGCCTCAGTATCAGAAAGTCTGGTTTTCTCTGGATTTTCCCATGGAGAACTTCCTGTTCCTCCAGACCAATCCACCCTTCTTAAAACATTTTCTTCCACTCTTTTATTGCTGCTGAATCTGGTTCAAAAAGGGGCCCATCTGCTCCAGCTACATCATCAGGAGAGATCTGCACTTCCACACAGCTGCTGAGCTTTCTGTCCCCATGCAGAAGATGGAACTGCTCCACCCACCCCCTTGGAACAGAAATTATACCAAGCAACTGATGGATCAAAAAAACCCTTGGAACAGAAATTATACCAAGCAAATGATGAATCAAAAAAGCTTCTCTGTGATCATTTCTGTGCTGGCTATGTCTCTAATACAAACTTTCATTTTCTCACATTTTGCAGGAGACTATAATTTGTTCCTTAATAAAAAGCACCATAAAATTTGTGAGTGTAATTTTCCAAAAGAAAAAAACCCCATCAACTACACTAATCGTACTATAAATTCCATGAAGCAGTTCAAAAAAGACTGAATTGGTGATAGAATTCAATAGAAACAATCATCTGCTCGAGGAGTTTCTGCAGGAATTCTAGTATTTCCTTAGAATTTAAGTGACTTCACTACATTTTGTAAAGACTGAAAAGCAACTACCTGCAAGTATGCTTTAGAACATCACATAAACATCAACCCAGTGGAAAACTCCATGTGACAGTTTGCATGCAGCTGCTAACCTGGGACATGCTCTGAAAATAACGTCTCTGACAGCTCAGATGCACCAGCCTTGACCCGAGTGCAAGCAGACTGTATACTCCAAAATACATACAACCTCCTGATTCCTGCTACTCCTCAAGGCTGAGAGTTCTGTTTGTTCAGTCTGGAGAAGAGTCCAGGGAAACCTTAAAACCCCTTCCAGTACTCAAAGGGGCTACAAGAGAGCTGGAGAGAGACTTTGGACAAGTAGGAATGGCTTGAAACTGGAAGAGGGAAGATTTAAATTGGATATAAAGAAAAAATTCCTTAGTGTGAGTCAGTGGAGTGGAAGGTGTCCCTGTCCAGGGCAGGGGGCTTGGAACTAGATGCTGTCTAAGGTCTCTTCCAACCTAAGGCATTCTATGCTTCCATGACCTCCAGGGCATAAAAATCACTGCATCTCTGCTTTGTCAGAGAGTCATTTCCAGACAAGGCTTATAAATAAATTTAGCTTTGAGCCACAGAAACCCTTGCAGGAAGTTCTCTTTGGTGTCTTTTTGAGCCAGGGCAGGGGGCTTGGAACTAGATGCTGTCTAAGGTCTCTTCCAACCTAAGGCATTCTATGCTTCCATGACCTCCAGGGCATAAAAATCACTGCATCTCTGCTTTGTCAGAGAGTCATTTCCAGACAAGGCTTATAAATAAATTTAGCTTTGAGCCACAGAAACCCTTGCAGGAAGTTCTCTTTGGTGTCTTTTTGAGTAAAATAAGAACAAACTGCATTAAGTAAATGAATGCACAAAAGTTATGGATTGTTTTAGTTAAGATACAATGGAACTAAAAAACCCAGTTCAAATGGCACAACCTTCTACCTGCAGATGAATGCTAGTCATGGGAATCAGCTCAACTTGCTAACAGTTCCTCAATTTGATTTCAGGGCAGAAGCTGGAAAGGTGTTCACAGTTGAAGCCATTGTACTATGGAATGTGATTTTTTCTACCCATTCACAGTTGATTTGGGGACAAGCTGTGTCCCATCTCTTCATGCAGCATTAAGGAGAAGTCTTTTCTTTGCACACAGTACTTTAACTTTACAGTATCTGTGAAGGGTAAAAGTGAAGAATTTACTTTTATTTGCAACATGAAATTTTCACACAGTCACAGAAATTAATTACAACTGAATAGTAGTCATCAGTCTCCTCACCAAATGTAATACATGCATTTTAGCTCATTCAATCTTGGCAAACTTCAGAAGTTAATAATTTAGTATTCCATAAACAAAATAAATTATATTACCATATTTTAACAGAACAAAAATAAAGCTTAAGTGACTATACCTTGAATTGATATTTTACCTATAATAATTCACATGAAATAAAAAAAAGGAAATTAGTGAAAAACACTTGAAATCAAGTTTGGGCAATTTGTTGAGTTGAGAATTAGGCTCAGTAGATGTCGATACGCAGAGCACTCTCATGGCATTGATCTAAGTGTTCTATAATCTCACAAACCAATAATAAGTCTTCATCGAGTTCAGGGTGTAAAAATAAATTTATTAGCTTTTGGTCATAAAAACCCCAGCTACTATTCTTGGTTTTGTTAAACAGCAGCAGTCAAAAAGATGACAATTAAAAAGTGTTCAATTAAAAAAATAAGGCAAGCAGTGTAAACCTGTTCTTTAAAAATCAATGCTGTGGCACTACAGAACCAAAGGAAGCAGAAAAAAAGACTGAACAGGAACTTAGTGAAACATGACAATCACCAAGTTACTTCTATGCCATCTCACCATTTCAGTTAGCCAAGGAAGCATTGCCAAAACAGTATGAAAGTAAACTTGTATTTCAAAACTATTAAGAGTTAATCAAGTTTTAAAGGCATCCCTTGGTGGGGGGAGGTGAAGTATGCCATAGGGATGGTGATTTTATATTCTACTGGGTTGAAGTCTGTAAAACATGACAGAATACTGAACCCAAAAGCTTGCAAAACACCAGGCCCTGACTACTGTTTCTGCTCAGCGATGCGCTGCAAGCAGAGCTTCATGTAGGAGTTCTTATTGCGGATTTCTACCACTGCATCTCTGACAAGTTCAATGAACATCTGAGGCCAAAGCTTCTGCAAGGACTCATTCTTCATATTGATGTCAGCTGCTTCTTTCACTAAGTTCTCGACGTACGTCTGGCAAAATGTTTTCCTTTCCTTGATTTCCTGCATGAGAGAACCATCACACATTGCATAAGACAAAGGGGAAAAAAAAACCCAAAACCTTAAATCAAAATAAGCTCTGCAAAAATTTACTTAAAGTCCACAGCAAATAGCAGGCAAAGAGGATACTGAACACTTTCTCCTCTAGGTTTTAAGTCATATGGCTCAGGGTCTATGTCAAGTTTGTATGAGTGTGGCCACAGAGTCTTAGGGTATTCAGAATATTCAGATTATACTGATTCTTTAGTTGATCTGAAATCAATTTTTAAGTAGTCGTACAAATATCTTTTAATGGCATTACAATTTAGTTTGCCTTCTGGCATAGCAGTGAAAATTTACAGAAATTAAGCACTAAACTCCTTTTCTTCCTTCTCTCCCTTCCCAGTAGGAACAGTACAACAGTTGGAAAGTCTGTGTTTATCTCCCTGCCCTAACAAGCATATTGCCACAGGGAAACATGGCAGTACACATCCTTTTACACAGGCACTCTGGCAAGGGCATGGCTCCTAACAGGGATTACATTTCACACTGAAAGTAAGCTGAACCTGTCAAAAATAATAAAAATGAACTGTCTTTTGTGTGACTACCAGCTGTGCATTTTAAGAACTCAAACTGTATCAATACCTGTTTCTGCACAGAAGTCTATAAAATGCCACAATAAGCTTTGAAGAACAAGTTTTGTGGGTGCTAAATATCTAACTAGTTTGATTTATGGCATTGATAAAAATCTTAGATCATGTTTCATGCCACCAAAAGATTTTTCAAGAGGGATGAAACCAAGAAAACACTTTTCAGCAGTTTCTGCTAGAAAACCAAATTATTAATCAATGACTCCAGACTGTCATCTTTAGCAATACACCTGTTCAGTCACAGTTATAATGGGGACCTGGATGAAGTCCTTTTTACTATCTTTAGTCTATCTTACTCTTGTGACATCCTGCAGGATCTGCTGCTCCTATAGCAAAGGACAAGGTGGGAATTGCTGCACTGTAAAGAGCAAACAATGCATATATTTAATGGACTGTACAAATACCAATCTTATTTTATTAGAGTGTTTGTTCCTTGGCAAAGGACAAGAGGAATACCTCACTGTTTTACTCTGTCATTCAAAGTTTTAAGAGCTACTATCACAGCTTTTGAAATGAAAATGTTTTCTTAATTTAATCTCTCCACACATGCAGGCACTGTCTCTTTTTTTCCTGGGGATCTGAGATAACAAAACCACAAGGCAATAACTGAACTTAGTGATTACTGAACTCGATTTAATTTCTTGCACTAGAGGATTTATTTATTTTCACATAATCAAAAAACAAATAATGGGGCAAGTGTAGGAAGCAGGGTGCATACAGCTGGAGCTCATGAGGAGTGCTCAGAAAGGAAAGTGTGGCTGAAAGAATCATGTTCTCCCTGGGAACAATTACCCTCTGCCCAAGCAAAAGAGTTAGCAGATCAGAAACGCAAACTAAAACAAGCGTGACTGATGCACTTGTCTGAAACAAGCCAGCTTGCAATTTTATTAATAATTAAACCTAATACATTTCCTATAATATTTATTTTCCTATGGCTCATTTAAAAGCTAGGAAACAGCACTTCATTACTACAGCCTGCACTGTCTCAAGTCTTGTCTGAAAGTATTCTTCACCAATACATTTTGGGAAAATCCAACACATGCAATATACATTTTTCTTTGCAAAAAAAGCTGTGCTCACTTCTTCTATTTTACTAATCTAGGTATATTTTGTCATGAACATGAGGCTTGTAGGTGAGAATGCATTTCTGAAACTGTGGCACTGCTCAGGAACCACTTCAGTAAAGACAAACTGAGCATCACCTAGTATTCTGGCAAAGATCAGTGAGATGAAATGCTTGATCAGATATGTCAAGATGTTAAGCAGTGGTATTTTAAAACCACCATTGTCACTATCATAACTGAAACTTGACACATAGATAAATTCCATGAGTAGCAGCCAAAGTTTAACTAATGGGGAATGAAAGTGTTTTGCAATGATATACTCACCTCAAGCTTCTCCATATGAAAGTCCTTTGTCATGTAATTTAACGTTGCTCGACTTGTGCTTTCCCCATTTCTTCTGCTATCACTACTTTCCTCACTCCCAACCCCAGACTTCTTTCCCTTTACCTCCAGTAGATAATGCAATTGCTTCCTCCTGTGAAAAGGTAAGAGATATACAGTCCTAATTATCAGAAACCTTTTTAAAGTACCGATGTGGATTAAAAATTCACTGTGAGCTGCAATGTGTGCTAGCAGCCCAGAAAGCCAATGGAATCCTGGGCTGCATCCAAAGGAGTGTGGCAGCAGGTCAAAAGAGGTGATTCTTCCCCCCTACTCTGCTCTTGTGAGACCCACTTGGAATAGTGTGTGCAATTCTGGTGCTCTCAACATAACAAGGACACAGAAATGTCGGAGCAAGACCAGAGGAGGCCACAAAGTTGCTAAGAGGACTGGAGCATCTTCCCTATGAGGACAGGCTGAGGGAGCTGGGGCTGTTCAGCCTGGAGAAGAGAAGACTGTGTGGAGACCTCAGAGCAACTTTTCAGTATCTGAAGGGGCTACAAGGAGCCAGAGAGGGACCCTGTGTTAGGAACTGCAATGACAGGACAAGGGGTAATGGGTTCAAACTGAAGGACAGGAAATTTAGGTTTAGGTTTTCCTGTGGGGGTGGTGAGACACTGGCACAGGTTGCCCAGGGAGGCTGTGGCTGCCCCAACCCTGGTGCTGTTCACAGCCAGGTTGGATGAGGCCTTGAGCAACCTGCTCTGGTGGAGAGCTGTCCTTGCCCATGCCAGGGATTTGGGACTAGATAATCTGTAAGGTCCATTCCAACCCATAAAATTCTATGATTCTATGTTTCTAGTGATTCTAAGTGGTTTGTTTTTCTCTCCTTTTCAATATATACTTTATAAACTTTATATACCTTCTGAGCTTTCAATTATATTGCATCCCCAAGTTACTCAAAATACATATGACTCTAGATATTCCTTCAATTAATTTCCTTGTATACAGTTGACTTTGACACACATCACATACCATCCCCTAAATGGGAAGTCTTGCAGCTTCAAATTTTATTAAGTGCTCATCTATAGAAGACTAAAAATAGTTTCTTTAAGCACCTTATTTTTTTTTTTTACAGTACAACTCTTAAATCTGTTGACTGTTACAGTCATATAAAATACCCACTAAAAATAACCAATTTTCATTGTGAAAGTCCACAAGTCTTACCAGACTTCACACAAATTCTGTGAAAACCTCTGGCAACATGAACCAGGAGATGGTAACATTTGTGCAATATGCAGACATCCTATCTTCTCTGAGATGCTAGTAGTGAAATTTTTTATCTTTTCAGCTAAAAAGAATTTATCACAACAGCGTACAAAGGGATTATACACCATATACTGGACAAATCCCAGTTCTGTTCACTGGATTTTACCTGGATTCTCCTAATAAGGAGAGCACACGGTAATGTGGCAGCTCAGAAGATGCTACGTATGCCAGAATGCCAAAGAGCCTTTCTGCCAGGACAATGTCATTTTCAGTAACCTGTGAGAGAGTGGGAAGAAAAAATAAAGAAGTTATTTTCACAATTAGAACATTCATATTTCATTACATATGTACACTGAGAATTAACTGAAATTTGTTATACGCTTCCAGGCACATTTTCAAAACACAGATCTGTTTTTACTGGCACCTTAAATGTACTTGAGAAGAAAGCAAGCAAGGTACTGGTGCTTGGTTTGTTTCCTGTAAATCTGGATATTTTAATGTACATATATGCTGCCTTGTGCTTCATGACAGTCTTCATGAAATGAGGAATTTTATAGCAGTTTCTTACATTGATTATCTGAAGGACAGACATGAATTCTGCTCCATACTGCATGCGCTTACAGAAGATCTACTGGAAAATTCCTGATCAAGTTATGCTGGAGAAACAGAAAGATTCTGGGCATGCATATGTGAAAAGATAAGTTATGTACTCTCTTATTTTGGCAGCATCATGGAGGAGGTTTTATAGAAAGAAAGGCTTTAGAGAGGGGAAAAAAACCCCAACTAATTTCACTGCATTTTTCAACCCCTGAAAATAAGTGTTCCTTCATTATTCTTCTCTAAATATCAACCATACTGTTGTGTCAACATTGTTACAGATGTCTCTTTAAACCCATTTTCAGTGGTTGAAGAGCTTTCAGGATTCATTTTACACTTTTCAGTTTTGTACAAAGAAGGTGGAAGGTCCTTTTTTTGGTGGTGGTTGTTGTTTTTTGTTTGTCTTGGCTCAGAATCTCTGGAGACCATGGCCTGTGTTTCTCCTGCCCTGATGGCCAGACTATGAACTGACTTCAACTGCCAAAAGTTTGTTGGCACAGTTTCTGCACTCCTGGCTTTCCACTGAGTGCAGAAAGAATCTTTATGATCGTCTAAATCTGACCTGGATAACACTGGACAATGAAACTTACTCATTGACTTCTTAACTTCTGGATCAAATTTAATTTCCGTTCATCCTATAACATATTTTGGGAAAGCAATCCATTATTAAATCAACTTCAATGCTCACAATATTTACTAAGTGCTTCCAGACAACCTTTGTGTTCTGTGTTATTCAAATGTGTGAGTAAAATGGAATTTTGATCCACATCAACAGAATTTTATTATATTCTTGTTTAATGTTTATAGACTATATAATCTGCCCTTCCCTAAAGTATACTGCAACAGCAGAACGGGGGGCATAAATGCACCAGAGAAAACACAGATCAGGAAATTAGAAATGTAAAGTCAATTCCATTTTCACAGTGTTTAGATTTGTTCATTTTCACTTAAAATTAAATGTGTCTTACTTAGTAGCCTAGGAGTAGATGACCTTGCTGAACAGGCTGTAACAGAAGCAAGGTCTAGAACAAAGAGCACAGAAGGCAGCTAGGGAAACAAAGCCCATCGCAGGCACCAATGTCTGCTGGAGAAATAAGTGAGTTTAATTTATTTATTTATGTTAAGAGAAGCATAAGGACCAGGTCATCAGAGACAGCAAGGCTGAATACACTCTCCAGTTCACAAAAACTCATGTTCTCTAAGTTACTCCAGTACATTGTTTGCTCCATTAATCACAAAAAGCTTATAACGGTACTATCACATAAATGTAAGGCTATTATTCCTGATTCTTGCCAAGCACAGAAAACAGGCACCAACTGTGCCAGCAGGCCCAGCTCAGTGAACGTGCTGCATCTGTCACATTGTGTGCCATACCCAGGGTGTAAAGCACTTGGGAAGCTTTAGGAACTCCCAACCTTGACAACTTGGAGTTCAGCTGAAATTGCTATCGCTGGGAAAAACTTCTAAGAGTATCTCTCAATCAAGAGAATTTGCTTCTTCACAGTTAGTAAATAGAACAGTTGGACAAGGGAACAGAATCATTGTAAGGGGGAGACTAACACACTAACACTCAGCTTCTAGCCTGCAACAGTAACTGGAATGGAAGGGAAAAGCTGGGGAGAAAGTGAAAACTTTGCTATATGTTTTTTTCAGTTTAAAAGTGCTAGAGTGATGCAATTTATTCAGCTAGTTCAGTTAGTATATATTGCTTTTACCTCACAAGTCTGTGTACCTCAGCTGGCAACACAACAGCCTCCCCAAACATTGCATTGAATGGTGATCAGAACAGCAGAACACACACATTTCCCTTTCTGTGGTCTGAAACACTTATTTAGGGCTGATCTAAGGTCTCAGAGCACACTTCAGGGCTGGTGCTCTCGACACTGAAACAGGATTTTCTGTGACTGATGTTAAACAGAAAGGTGATACAGGTCTGCAGAGCTGGATACCATGACTTCTGCTGTAGGATAATGAAAAGCAGCAATCAGAGCTCATCTCTTTTCTTCTGTTTCGCCATGACACTTTTCAAATGATTAATGACATAGGAAAAAATTTCTGTGTGCACATCTTCATGTAGTGTGGTCTGGCTGAAAAAGCTTGTCAGGACAAAAATGTTCTTGCCATACATACTTAAGATCTGATATCTGTCCTACATGGAACCATGCTGTGCTACATGTGTTCCATTTACTAAACTCATCCCAAGAGCTATTAAACTCAAAATTTTCCTTCAGAGACTGAATTTGCTGATCTTGAGATTGTAATAAAAAGTCGACTTAAATAGTTGTGCTACTTTCTTTGTTTTTCTTTCTCCATGAAGAACAAACAGCCAAGATTTATCTTCTATTTTCTTTTGATCTGAATCACTGGTGTTGATTTTCAAAATATGATGCAATAAAAAAAGACATAAACTTAAAACTTTTTTTTTTTTTTTAAGTCAACTATGATGAGCATTTTTTTGGTAAAGTACTAAATACCAGGTTATTTTGATTTTTTTCACAGAATTACTGACTATCACTGGTTTTTTCTTTTTCCAGATACTGTGCTGTTGGAGTGAGTCATATCTGCCTCCATCCTTTCTCACCCTTCCTTTGCTAGTTAATTCAGGTAAGCTTTTTACCCACTCCTGCTCTTGTGAGTAACTAATGCATGTTTTACACAACTCAAACCAAGTAAACCACAACATTCATGCTTTGGCTGGATCAGATAATAAACACTTCTAATCCAAAACATATGATGATCACCAAATTAAAATACCATCTCAATCCTGAAGCTATGTATTGTTTTTGCTCTAATTAACTTTCATAACACCTCTTAAACTTCTTTAGCATTAAAAATTGAATGCCATTGTGCTCCATAGCAACTATTTTTGCTCCCTTCATGATCAAAGCTCCAGTATAAAACAACTATTTTATATGCTTGAATAAATTTACTTTCAACAGATGTAAAGGGGAACACAAAAGTACAAAGAACAGCAATAACAGTGTCCTAACTTTCTATTTATTTGAACAAAAACCCCACACAATAAAGATGTACACAGCAAGTAGAAAAAAACTAAAATTAAGAATCTGACAGACTAACAAAAACCCCACACAATAAAGATGTACACAGCAAGCAGAAAAAAACTAAAATTAAGAATCTATCTGACAGACCTTTTCTTGTGATACACTTAAAGAAGAAAATATGACTCTGATATTTTGCAACACTGAGAATTTTATCATATAATTGTATGATTTATATCATAATAACTGCAAACTAGTAAAGATTCTGACAAACACTTTTGCATAACCACACAATAAAGATGTACACAGCAAGCAGAAAAAAACTAAAATTAAGAATCTATCTGACAGACCTTTTCTTGTGATACACTTAAAGAAGAAAATATGACTCTGATATTTTGCAACACTGAGAATTTTATCATATAATTGTATGATTTATATCATAATAACTGCAAACTAGTAAAGATTCTGACAAACACTTTTGCATAAGTATTGAATGTCAGCACTGTCATCTTTACAAACAATAAAGAAGTACTTAAAATCAAGTAACATAGTGCAGTTCTTTAATATTAATTGCACATATTTAATTTTATTAAATAACCTACCTTTAATGTGAATTGCACAACAAATTACATGGTGAAGTCTACTGAATTTTTCCCACTAAGACTGAAGAGAATCTGACAGGGCTGTGCTCATTTTATTAGAAATTTACCCTCTAAGACCAATAACAAGAAAGAAGCAGCTCTGTCCTACCTTCTCTCCATTTATCTTCTGCAGATGAAAATGGTTCAGCCTGAACAGCACATAGGATTTCCACAAGGTAAAGTTGACAACTGGATTTCCCTGAGGATCAACTGTCAACTGCTCAAGGCGTTGCATCTCAGCTAACGCATTGAATTGCTGCAGTGTCACAAGGTTTGTCTCCTTAAACTTCAGGTGCTACAAACAAATCAAACAAGGAAACAATGAAAAGTGAACACAATGACTCCCATTGTGTGCCACTCAATTTTCACACTGAGTTAACAGTCATAGGTCTGATGAAGTAACTGAGCTCATTTCATTTGAGGTCTCTGTAGCAAAACACATCCAGGGATCAACAAATTGCTGTATTACATACATTAAGACATGTCAACATCACAAGCAACTTATAAACCCTTTACTAACAGCTCTAACACTTCCAATGTTACAAAAAGCAATACTACTTGAGCAATGCCTGAATTCTGCAAGTAAAGTAACTGCATCACCTACACATAGAAGCAAGCACAACACATGTTTTTAACTCCTTGGCCTGTTTGGGCAGTGTGCTGGCCTAAGCCATGCCCTGCTGTCTGTGAACCATGGCCTGCACTAATGCTCCTCTGAGCATGGTATATTTGGCCACACAGTAGCATTATTGAGGGAAAAGGAAGGAGGAAAAATTGATGGTAAAGATATAGTTGAGATTGTGCCGTCGCCCACAAATTTCCCACACACAAACCGTTTTGTTAAGATGGATAAATTTGTCTTAAGCTCCCCACAAATTTAGCATCTATCTCAGTGAAACCATAAAGCCTTAAGAAGCAGAAGGTAGCTCAGCTTACCACACAATTAGGGAATTTTGTCTTCAGTTTTGCTAACACTTGAACAATTTCATCAAATTCTATGAACATAAAGGAGACTGTGACAATAATTCCAGCTGTCTGAACACTCCAGTTTCGATCCAGGCACTCCAGTGCTCCAGCACCATACAAGCCAAGAGTGTCTCCTTCCACTTCCACTAAATGAGACTCTAGAACAGACAAGCCTTGTACTGCACTGCTCAGTATTGTATCAAGAGACCTGTGAAGGAAACAACACAGTGATATAAATGAGATTATATGTTGAATGACATCCTTTCTTTTACCAAGCCTCAATTGTCAAATACAATGGCATTTCTCAGCATTCATACATTTTCAGTACTCCATCTGGTTCAAAACCATTAAGGGCTGGAAAATCCTCTTTCCATCAAGTAATGCTGCAAATGTTCTACTTCTTTGGCAGAAAGGTTCTGGGTGTATTAGAGTTGGTGGAGGGGTGGAATTAATTAAAGAATCCACTCATATTTAATAATCTGCTTTAAAATTTTAACTCAGAATGCTAACCTAGCATATTTCATGTTGGTTTATACATCTAAACACAACTTCACACAATCAAACACAACTTCAAACAACGTATTTATTTAAGCAATGTCCCCCTCACACTGAAATGTAGAAGTTATGACATGAGCAATCACTCAAGCATTTCTTTAAAACAGTGTGTGCTTTCCAATTCACAAGAGCTATTTCAAACTTAAGCAATAAATCCAGGTATTCTCAGCTCCCATCTCTTTTATCCCACTTCCCCCATGACACACTCAGCTGGCTGGAGCTAAGGTGTCAGAGAATTCAAGATGAGAACAAGTCACAGGTTTAGGAAGTTACATAATGATTGTTTTTAATTTATTCTTTACTATATTCCTAGTTTATTCATGTATTTTGACTAGTAGCAATCACTTGACTGATGTTTTCTTGACAACATCAAGCAGAGCACTAAGATTTCACTCTTAACTGGGAATGCTGGGAGCCCACCATTTCACATGTGACACTATAAATACTTATCTATGCTGAATTTCACCTGCAATTTTAGTGCTTAGCTGCTCATCTTGAAAATATCTTCCGAAATTCTTCACCAAGATAAAACACAGCTCAAACCAACATGATCTCTCAAGCAATGAGAGTCTGTACATTAACAGGACAACACTAAAACTACCATAGTTACATTGATTTGGTCACAGGGGAAGATTACCAACACTGAATTAAACTGTGAAGAAGCCAAGCAGGCTAGAAAGCAGTGAGGTGTTTAGAGAGAGCTTTGGAAGCACAACAACAGAAGGGACTAACAGCAATTAAAAAATGCTAAGAAAAAATGTTTCAGAAGATGCAGCACTACACTGGAGAAAAAACCCCCATTCTAGCCAATAACAGACTGAAGCTTAGATGGGTTCTGTTTGTGACAAGCAAAGGCTTCCTGACCATCCCTGCTAGAAAGCAGTGAGGTGTTTAGAGAGAGCTTTGGAAGCACAACAACAGAAGGGACTAACAGCAATTAAAAAATGCTAAGAAAAAATGTTTCAGAAGATGCAGCACTACACTGGAGAAAAAACCCCCATTCTAGCCAATAACAGACTGAAGCTTAGATGGGTTCTGTTTGTGACAAGCAAAGGCTTCCTGACCATCCCTGACACTTCCAGCACAGAGACAGCTTTTTTTTCTCCTTGCTACTCAATTCATGCAGACTATTGTTTCAGGCATTTGCCTGAGCAACCAAGGTTCAGAGTGTGTTAGTTAGGTTTTAGCCATTTCAAGGCACACAATGTTCATCATGTCGTGCAATGATTTTTAAACTATGTAGAATACCAGATGGTCACCTTGTAAATGCAGATAAGCAAGCTGAAAAGTGTATCACAAAAATAAAATATTTTAAACCAAGAATACAAACTTATCTTGGGAACAAAACTAAGTCAAAGAGCTGCTACTCTTGAATAGCACCAATAGTCCAATAAAAGATGCTGCTATTCAAACTAAGAGCATGAATTCAACTATGAAACCTCTTGATACACCAAGAGGTTACAAATGTTTGTAATGCTCCTACATCTTCATTTGGCTCATTTCAACTGAAGGCAACATCTTAAGTTGTCAACAAAGTGAAAAGTCTTAAGGCATCTCAGGAATTCATCTTTAACATTTCCAGCAAACACAAAGATGGCCCTTATTTAGCAAAATTACATAATAATTTCACTTGCACTTCTTAAGGCAACGAATTGCTGTTATATTACTTTTTACACATGTTATTTATTTCAAATGGTCAGTAGAATAGCTTGTCTGGATTGATTTAGATAGAGCATAGTGAAATACAGTGAGATCTTGGAGGTGAGGAGGAACCTGGAACGTACGACAAGAACAAGCAGAAATACTGCCCATGAAATACCTGCTTTCTTCAGGAAATACATATGCAGCACTGCCATTGATCTGACAGGGCTCAGTGTCTTTATCTTGGTTTAAGGAAGCCTCAAGAGCTACTCTGTTCTGCTGTATCTCCCACTGATGAGCAATATTACAAATCGTTAACCGCTTCTTTTCCTGCGACGAGACACAGAAGTCATCAGTTATGACAGGTCAGTCCCAACACACTTGTCTGTTCTGAAAGACATAACTGCTTAACCAAAACATTTTCTATATTTCAAACTGAAGAAACCCTAGCAGTGGTTGGTGGTTATGCATTAAAAGAATGCATCATTCCAGTGCTATTTTGCAGCACTGCCAGCAAACAATTCACAAAACATGCAATAACAGAGACAAGTAACATAATAAAACTTAAGTAAGCATAAACTACTGAGTTTGGATAATCACAGAAGTCTCATTTTGACAGTCTGGAGTGGCTTGTAATACTCCTCCCACAAAACAGGGCAGACTCTGTGCTGCTACAGTGCCCCCAGCACTGCAGCTGAGACACTTATGCAACTGCTCTAGGTCTCCCAGCAATTGTAACATACTTTGAGTGGGCAGAAAAAGTTACCTTCTGAAAAATGGGAAAAGTCAAGTTGATAAAAACAGAAAATCAAAATCACCTTCAGGAGAGTCACAAGGACTACATCAGATCTAAGTTCAAGTATTCTGTAATAGCTTCTCAAGGTAGTTTTTATACTCTAGACTGATCTTGTCAATGAACCAGCATGTCAAAAGTCTATGAAGTACTAGCCCCCAACTGTGGGCAGCTGGATTCCTACCAAGCTTTGAAAACTTCCAAGAATTCATTTTACAAAAAGCAAATTTTACAAGCAAGAAGATTCTGCTAGCAATAACTTTTTCTTGTTCCAGTAAATACTCAGTTCAGCCTCTGTTGGAAAGGAATGACATTCTCTATACATTTCAAAGTAGATCTCAGACTTTCCCAGAAGAGTGGGTTGGAAGCAATAAAAAAATAATCTGGAAAAAGAGATGAAGAAACTCTGCTGTTTGGGCAGGCAAATATCAGCAAGGGAAAAAGCAGAGATGACATTGCTGAGGTTGATATTTTCGATGCAGAGCATAGAGGAAAACACCAATTGTTCACCCCTGAGAGCTCAGAATTTCATTTACACTTCCTGTAGTTTAAAAACGTCTGAAGCAAAGTGACAATAACAAAACCTGCAGAATTCCCTAAATATTTTCTTCAGATTTTACCATGAAGAAAATCCAATAGTTCACATTTTTTGCTGGACATTGCATCTATTGTTCCTTCAACTCAAACGTGTGGAACAGGAAAAAAGCCTGAAGCATAAGAACTTATTTACAAATAAAAGATTTGCAAAATCACTGAATCATACAAAAAATATTGATATTTGGCCCTTATGCTACTTACTTATTTGAACACAAGAACTATATCTTGATCAAATTTTTAAAATCTACAATTTAATGCTGAAATGCAGTAATAATGGCATGACACATTACAAATACTTTTTTTTAAGGGAATTTTCCACTAGCAAAATGCACCACAAAATCTAGGCCATCAAGACAAACAATCCCTCTGCTACAAGAAAATGTTACATAAATGGTTAAGAACATCAACTACAAATAAACACCTACTTTTTTCTGATTTCCAAAAGCATAAAATGACACCATGTGTGAATATTATTTACTAATTTCCCATTTTTTATGCTACTAAGAACTAGCAGCAAAGCTTCAAACCTGAAGAGACTTTAAACACATCAGTATCTTACAGGAAAAAAAATTAAAAATCACCCAAAAAAATTAAAAACCCCTCCTGTATCTAAGGCTTTTGATTATGTTGCTATTTTTTAAAACAGAAAACAGAAATACACATGGATACAAATACATAGGATATTAAAATATACTCTTAGGCACTAGGCATGTAATTTTTTTTCCCCATTCATATGTTTAAGTTCTTGGAGTGTTTTGTATATACTTAAAACATCTTTTAATATACTGTTAACATTCTGCTTCTGGCTTTTTATTTTTCAGAGTTCTATACATTTGCTACACTTCTCACAGCCTCCTGCAACTCCTTTCAGACTAATTCCCTTCCTTAAATATGATTTTACCTGGGAACCTTAACATGAATACATGAACATATTTTGTTTGTTTGCCTGCCCAATTGAAAATGTTTTTTTTGCATAGTCATTACTGGATGGTTGCCTGCCCAATTGAAAATGTTTTTTTGCATAGCCATTACTGGATGACCACAAAAATTTAGGTTCCTTTTTTTTTCTCCAAAGGAAAACAATTTGGAGATTAGATCCTTGAACTTTGGTCTCCCATTAGCAACACAGCTCAGGCAGCCAGCAGCCCATGAAGAGGATCTGGAGTGCACCTCGGTCCCCCCTGCTAGAGCTGCTGCAGATGAGCCAGGCCAGGTGGTCTGGGAGATAAGTGTTCTTTGGACAAAGACAACAGCTGGAGTGAGTCTAGCTGCTGCTCTGATGACTGCCTCACTTCTCCTACAGAAAGGAACAACTTCAACAGGAAAGAATGAGGGCAAAACCACTTCAGAACACCCTGCATGGCTGCAGCCAGAGCACTCAGCTGAAAAGGGGATTTACAAAAGCCACACTTGCCATCCATTTACATGTGTCACACTCATGTTCCACTGGGGCTTTCTGCTGAAGCCTAAGTTCCTATTTGCCTGCAGAGTTTCTCATGGAGTGCCCTGTCTAAGCTGCAAAAAGAAAAAGTTTGAAGAGATAGAGGCATAATGGGATATGTAAGATCTGCAGGAAAAGATAGCAGGGTATAAATT